TACAATTTTTATAGGCGTGGCATTCGATTTTACCCTATTTTCAAAAAAAAAATGAATATTCTCTTTCCATATATATTCACAGAAATGGTTTGGTTGAAATGTAATATATAATCTTTTTTATATAAATGTATCAAAAATATAAATTCATCTCCCCTTGTACTTACCGTACTTTTCAATTCCGTTTATAAAAGTAATAAAAACAAAAAATATTTATAAAAATAATGCTTATGCGTATTTAATGATTATGAATATAGTTATGAATTATTTCTTTGCGTTCAAAAAATATTAAATATTATTAAGAAACTTAAAAATCTTTAATTGTGCTAAAATAATATTTATTTAATAGAATTAAAATAAAATAATTATTTTAATATAAAAGCTAACTATAATGTTCTTAATCCTATTTGTACCATGATGAACCTTTGAGACTTAATTGAACTTTGAACAAATAACACTAAATAAAAACAGTATTTACAAATTTGAAGTTGGTCAAGATATTAAAATGAATCTTTTTCATAAAGTGTGCATTATTATATCATGATGTGTCTTACAGTCTCATAGCCAGAAAGGAATTCGCTATCATGGATAGAAATGGCAAAACTTGGAACAGAAATACGTTGAAGAACTCTGGATACCATTTCAAATCTCTAACCGCAGTATCACATTCGATAATTTCTTGCAAGCTACAAATTCGAAATCAAAAAATAGATGGCTGGTACGTAATATTTCACGTTTATATGTAATTTGTTTGATGAATAAATGAAATGAAATAATAAAGAAAAACAAAAACATTTCAATTCGCAAAGTGATCGAGATGCGCATCGTAGTACGATTCTTTATAAAAAATAGCAGTAAAATTAGGATTAATGAAAGAGTCGTGGCATCCATCTCATTTTAAAGTTCTTGGCGCGAAGTCTGGTTATTACCAAGAGAGGAACAAAACCATTTCAGTTATTCTCATGATTCGCAAAGTGACTGAGATGCACATCGTAGTACGATTCGTTATAAAAACAACGCATTGAGATTAGGGTTAATAAAGGGGTCGTGAGATGTGTCTTTTTCTAAAACTCATGGCGACAAGTCCCATCACAAGTATCGAGCACTGATGTGTAATGTAAAAAGTGATAGTAAACAAGGACATTATACAGATTAAATTATTAATTTATAAATTGTTAATTTTAAAATCATCACTATAAGCAAACTATGTTTCAGGTACATCCTATAATGTGTGGTTGTAGCCCTATTAAATTTTTAATAGCTTTTTGAATTCTTAAAAGTTGAAAAATTTTAGAACAAACCTATTATTGCGTCTATATTCATTTTGGAGGGATAATAACTTATTTTTCATAACATGTTGCAAAGTAGACTCTTTTTTGGCGCTCGTGTGACTTGCACTCAAAACTATAAGAAACATGGATGAGAGGATTACCACCTCTTTTTTTATTTCTTCATTTTGTAAGATACGGTGTTGTTTTTTTGCGCTTGTCTGACCTGCGCGAATCACTCGATTTAATAAAAATACATATGCTGAGCTCTAGCTGCGGACTTAAGATAAACAGAAGAATGAACAGAGACGATAGGTGTAATACAAAACTTTGATAAGGTATGATTGATTGAGGATCGATACATTCTACGATGACTATGGTGTGCACTCCTCATTTCTATGAATGAAAGGACATAAATATGTGACCAAAATATTTTGCAGAAAGGGGATGGGCCTAAGGAGTAAGGCCTTAAACACGATCATCATACCTTCCCTGATGGACAAGCTTGGCACTTACAGTTGAATGCGAGCATTGTGTTCACCATTGTGTTCGCGTTAATTGCTTCCAAGTCCAATTCCCACGCTTATCTGTCATGGACCGTCACAAGCAAATGTTTAATTTGATTATTTCTAAATTACCGGTCGGATGAAAATCAATAAGTCTTCAGTTTGCAATTTTCAATTTCATGTTTTGAAAAGATTTACAAAGTTGTACTGAGCTTAGCAAAAAGTCTCTTCTACGGTTTATGTATATTTATGACCGCCTTGATAACAAATATATACCAAGGGAACAAATGGATGTGAAATTCAAAATTTGTGTAACGAGAAAGAAATAATTTTGAATTGTTTCAATTCCGCATGTTTCATTTGTGTAAAAATTAGTTGCTATCTTGATGGAAATGCTATTGTTAAGATAGCATTGTCAGGAATAGTTTTTTGAACTGCTTTGTAAATTTCATAAAGAAACTTCAAGTCGTGAATTAATTGCATTATTATTAATGAAGCTGAATGCCATTCATTTTTTATATATATTTTGGATATTAATTTGTATTTATTGAGTTTTAAATGTGAAAGAATGAACTTTATACAAACAATCTTAGTGCATTTAAACGAAAGAGCATTTCGTTTGTCGCTGGATTTGGAAGTTTAGAAAAATCAATTATTTTGCGACCTTTTTTTCTCCTTGCTTTAAGGTATTAACGCGAAAATATACGCACATCTATAAATATACATAGATATATAAAAAGAACGGGGGAAAAAGAAAAAACAGGTGAATTCCAATTCTTGTGAATTGGTCATGAATTTTGGAGTGCCGTACAGCCAACACTCGACAATAACAACCGCAAGTAGTGAAGCAACAAAAGTTGAATCCTCATCATTTCAATTGCCAACAACAGCTACAGCTTATAAAAGTAATTTATTGCATCCAAAAGCATTAAATGCAGCTCAGAATTGTTTGGAAGTCTTAACAGCTAAGCCAAGTTTAATTAAATCGAACTCTTACACAACTGTTACTGCTATATGCTCTAAATTGCTTATCGCTGAGAACGAGTTAGATCAACCAACATCACCATTATCATCAAAATTAGCCGCCTCGCAGCCAATGTAAGTGCGAAGGAGTAGTTTGTACATTTATCCACATCCTTCCTTTAATATATAAACATAGATACATACATACACATGCAAAATTTAATGAATCAATTATTATTGAAAATTGTCTTTAAAAGTACTGTAGTGCTTCAATAAGGTCACGCAACTATATGTATACCAACTGCTTAATTTAGAAACTGTAAAATTAATAAGTAAAAGATACGAAGCAAAGTGTTTCTGAAACATGTGAAAATTGGATATTCTCGGGTTCTTTTTTGAACTCGCATCAACTTGGCTAATGGAAACGTAAAAACCTAGTTATCATCACATCTTTTTTGCTCATACTTCAGCAATGATCAGCTTAGAGAAAAAAATAAATCAAAAATTTCAATGTCTTGGCATTCGCAGCTTATCTTATAATTATATGGAATATTTATAAATAATTGGTAATGCGGAATATTTTCGGTTATCCAGTAAACAGGAAAGAGGAATTTTTCGTATGATATATAAAACGAATTCTCTCATTAAACCTCACCCGTTATCCGTTTACATTATCACTGCATATGGTCATGTTTCATGTTATACAACGTCTATAAACATCTGGAAGAGAAATTTTGACTTTCATTTTATCATTTTTATATTTTAATAATGATTTCGAAAATGTTCCTTAGTCTTCCCATTTATTTCTTTCGGCCCGTTCTGGAATGTAAGAAAACGCCATTAAGTTCAAGGGAAGAATCACAAACGCTTAATTTTACATAATTTTAAAACTCCTTTACGGACTTTTCTCAACAAAATGTGAGCTTCAATGAACAATCATTTTATTTGTTGAATTATTTTCTCTTACTCCGTGTGTGCTTTGAAATTAGCTGTAAATTAATCTGAAAATCAAATGGAGTTCCATTTTCAATTGCAAACACTTTGAATTACGAGGACACAACAATCTTAAGCCCTGTGTAATTTTTACCTTTACACAATCTCTAGCATTCAATTCATTTCTGTACTTCTATCCATATTTTATATATTCGCCTATGACTTAATATCGAAATTTATTCGTCGACAAAGTAATGTTAGTAAAAGCAAAACACGTTTGAAAGAAAATGTTTTCATTCCTATCGTTTTTTGATAAAATTCAAATTTATTTAAATTTTACTTGATACAAAGCTTAATAATCGGAAGACGCGCTATCATTGTCTTTAGTCTTTTGCCATTTATCAGAAAGCACATGGATGCCTTTGCGGTAGAAACTTGATCGTTTGAAGATGAAATGGCCATCGACCACCTACCTGCTAAATATGACTGCATCGATCTAAATAAGTGACAAGCGGAAGGGCTAGGCCTGGAGAACGTAGCGGGTGCGGTGAATTTTCCCAGACTAAGCTGAAAATTGTCTTCTTGATTGTTTTTGCGTGCGACAGACGGACGTATGCGAATTTCCATTATTTCCTTGCCGAAAATCTTTTGTCCAAAATCTCGCAAACAAATTTCTAACCACTTCGTAGCATACTGCATATCGATTCAAAGCCAACTTACTAATTTCCGTAGGTTCAGCTTCTTTTTTTTTCTGGGTTAATTCAGTTAAAAAACAGAAATGGTATCCATGTCTTTAAACTTTACTCTGTATTGAATGACAACTTGTAAACAACTCACACTTACGTCTTACATATCTAATTTATATATACATGAAATTGCATATAAATTGAACGCGTTAGGTATATTTTTTGAAGCCATCAATTTCAGCGGAAGAAATTTATTTATACGATTAATGCTTAGACAAAGTCCTCTTTCGATTTCCAACATTTTAGGTGAGGATTACAGGTCTCGAACACAAACGCTTGCTTTATGCTCGATTAACAAATTCATCAGCTCCCCCTTTAGAGATTATTTTATGAACTTGAAAATATTTTTTATTACGCACAAATCGTAACTGTTGCGCAAAGAAAAATATTGTTTATTACAGTAACTGTAATTGTAACTGTCGCACATTTTGCAATATTTATTTGTATAATGCGTTGAACTACACTTGAGAGCAAAGACATCGAACAGCTCCTCCATTTTCACTTCGAACCTAAATACTTATTAAGTTCAACTTGGATTGCAAACATAAGTCAAGTTAAAATAAAATACACACTGTTAGTTTCTGAGAAACACTATGTTAATTCCTTCGGCCTTCTTTGGCTAGTCTTCGTCTAACCGTCCGCCGACTAAACTTTCACTACTTTAACTACTCTGCTCGAAATGCTACCCGACTTGAACTGCATTCAACTAACTAACGATTGCATAGTGATGTTGGTGCCAGTATAGGATCATCAGGCAGTGTTGTACGTCCTCGCCGCCGAATATAGCCATTGGTCTTTTGATATCGCTGATATATTCGTCGAACAGCATATCGACTTAAATTTAGATGTCGTGTCGCTTGGCTTTGATTCTGTCCAGCTTTAATCAGTGTAACCACTTGAGACGCTGTTCCTGCTTTGGTATACATTTTCTTTCTCCAAATAGTCTCGTATACGATAAGCAACCTTTCAAACTGTAAGTTGATCTGCAAATATGAAGCGCTAACTGAAGCGAGCGGCTTTCTATTCTATTATTGACACTGTAATGATTTTGAAGGTCAAGGGTAAGCATTACGTGTTTTTCAAAAGCGAACGTTGTGTACTTTAGTTTAATTTAAATTATATTAAGTGATTTAAGTATGATTTAACAAACATTTAGATTCGAAGTGAAAATGTAGGGCAAGTGCGATTTTTTTGCTCATTGTGGCTATAATTTATTGCCCCAGGTACGTATACATAGGCATATTTTATCTTTGGTTTTTTTTTTCTCATATTTTTATTTTATTAATTTTCTTTTAAATTCTGTTTATTTTACAAGGTTTTTTCTAGATTTTTATTCTTCTTTTTTTATTAGTTTTTGTTTGATTTTGTAAACTTCGTAGGATTAAGAGTATCGAAAATTCTTCAATTCATATGGGTGAAAATGACGAAAAAGATAATGATAAAGAAAACGATAAACAAGATGAAGAAAAAAAAGAAGAGGAAAAAGTTGAAAATACCGATATTATTACTATATTTGAAAGGTAGGTGTGGGCATAACAAAATTAAATAAAATTACTAAAAAAAAAAAAAATGAATTATGAAAGCATCCCCTACACTAACCTTAAGAATAGTTAACATAATAATTATTCAATTAATATATGATATGTCTAACGCTCTAGATTGTACTTTTCATATATGTATATATATATATATATATATAGTTATGGTATTTGGTATTTTTAGGAAAAATTCATTGTGTGAAGATATAGCAGAGCCAACTAATTTACCTGAAGTATTATATGATAATTGTAATTTACCTGCTATATTGCCGAGCGAAGCCAGTATTAATGATTCCGTGAATCAAACAAACATTGAATATGTGACATCACCACGCAAACCTGAACTAGATCTCAATTCTGGGAACGCAATCTCAGAAGGCGATATTGTTAATAATTGCACTACTAATACTAATAAAATTGAAATTGAATGTGATCAGTGCAACACTCCATTGAGTGATATTGGATTGGATTTGAGAACTATTAGCCCTCTAACGGATTGTGAAAGTAAAAGTTCCATTAATCTTAAATGCATTTATGCAGAGCAGAACTCCGTTAGCAGTCTTCGAAGCGATGAGGTGAGCATGATTGATGTGATTAAATCAAAATTTTAATAATAATAAGAAAAAACTTAACTAACAACACTAAGGAGAAACTTCCGCTATCTTATTATTATGTTTACGTAACATATTAAATGTTTGCGTCAACATTCAAATCAACATTTTACACAATTTTCACTGCAGATAATACGTATTTTCATATCTGATCTTACCTGTAAGGGATTTATCATTCTTACATATATTCATATTTTGGAAACTTTAAGAAGATTGAAATAAGATTTAAGGGCAGATAGGCTGATAAACAATTTTTTATATCGATTTCAAATCTTATGTTAATTGAGATTGAGGTCTTTGGTACTTATTTTCAATATACGATAGACGCTACGATGATGTTGTCTCTAAGATCATCTCTCAATGGTGAATCGGTAGCTAGGAAATTAATTCAGAGAGAAAATTTTTTGTTAGTTAAGTTAAAAATAGAAATAGAAATTTCAAAAAAGAGACGACTAAATGTAATTTGAAGATATTGGCTATCAATTAAATGAAAAAAGCTTGATTACAACCAATTGGAAATGCAAAACTTTCATTTACGTACAAGTAGAAGCTTCCATTGATAAGAACTTCTTCTTAGGTGTGACAACTAGTGATTGCGTATTTATATGAAAATACGACAGTGGCAAGTAAAACGTGACAATTGACTAAAATGCATTCTCGTTTAGACCTTTTAGATATCTTTTAGCCGATTTGGAAGATATATATATTTTTTTTTATTTATACCTTGTTTCCAATTGGTTCAAGTTTTTTTTTTTGGTTCTTTAAAACGATCGTGTGAGGACAATTTTACACATTGGTTATGCAATCGGAAATCTGTTTCAACAAATCTGTTTATACAAATCAACACTTTCAACTCTTGTATGACGTTCCTACAACAGATTCGTATTCGCGAATGCGTTAAAGGATGCGCGTGCCATTAAGCAAAAAAAAAAAAAAAATATGGTTTCCTGAATATACTAAGAAATTTTAACTAATTCTAAATGTGAAAATGACTTCAATGCTAGCTCATATAGGAAATTATGTAAATAGAATTTTGAAACTTCAGCATACATCTACATAATCAAATGAAATCCTCATTGTTAACAGTTAGACCGGATAAGTAGAAGCTTTCATTGATAACAACATTTATATGGTTCTCTTGGTTTTTAGTTTACAAACTAGACGTATAAAGCATTACGAGTAAAGAAAATAGCGGCAAATATATATATATATATATATAAGCGTAATATATTTAAAAAAATTTTTGCATTGAAAACTCCTACCTAAATGTATACTTACTGTAATATATCCAGTTATTAAAGTACATTAATTTTTTAAAAAATTTGTCGCGTACGAATATCCACTTAAGCGGGTAAATAGTTCTTTTCCCTAAAAGACAAGTTTGCATTCCATTTTTATCCATTTTTATTTATTTTTATTTTTTAATAATTATTTAATATTAGATTTTTGATTTTTTAAATTCAGGATTCGATAAGTAAATCGAGTGAAAATTCTGGAGATTTAATACGAACAAGCGGTGAAGCATATTTATCTTCGGAAAAACCAAAAAATAGTACACGTCTTTCAGAACGCGTTAAAAAGAGATCTTGGTATAATGTTTTGTATCCGAATTATAAGTCGCGTTCACAGGATTTTAAAAAGCTTTTTAAGGATGTGCCGAGTGACGAACGTCTAATCGTTGGTAAGTTTGTAAAAGATCTAAAAGAAAGATAGAAGAGCATAATAATAATATGAATAAAATTTGTTTCAGATTATTCTTGTGCTCTGCAAACGAGCCTTCTCTTACAAGGTCGTTTATATATATCGCAAAATTACGTATGCTTTCATGCCAATATTTTTGGCTGGGAGACTTGTTTAATTATTAAGTGGAAAGACGTTACTTCTATAACTAAAGAGAAAACTGCTCTTGTTATACCGAATGCTATTTCGATTTGCACTTTAAAAGAAAAGTATTTTTTCTCTTCGTTTACAACACGTGATAAAACTTTTTTGATACTCTTTCGAGTATGGCAAAACACATTGATGAACAAACCTATGCTGCCGCAAGAAGTATGGCAATTGGTGCATAATTATTACGGCGATGAATTAGGTCTAACTACGGACGATGAAGATTATATAGATCCAACAACCGATTCCACATTAAATGATAACGATGGCACTAGTGTTGAATTTGTATCAGCGTTAGACGATACGAATTCATTGAGTATAACGATCAATGCAAGTTCCCTAGATACCAAACTCAATTTAGAAATTAATCAGGTGGAGAATTCTAGCGGCAGCAGTGCCTCAAATACGAGCAGTGTCAGTAGTGGCGGCAGTTTTAAAAATATACAAGGCAGAGCAAAAGAATTCATGTCTAAAGCAGAAGGATGCAGTGGTAGCACCTTTGCAGATGACGAGCCATTGCAAAGTTCGGGCCAGATTAATAGAGCTACAGGTGGTGGCAGTAGTGGCAGTGGCGCGGGGGCTGCAGATGCTAAACACACTTCTCAAACGTTCGATGGCAAGCGTAAAATGCCGAAAAACACCCGCCAACGGGATGATAGTTTATGTAAAAAATCGGAGACTATTCCAACCGATATGTCTGACTCTAGCGATTCAGAAGAAAATAATATTCCGTAAGTAATAATAATATATTCTTTTTTTTTTATTCATTAAATTTTATCGAAAAAATTTTCGCAATTTTTGATATTGTTTTTTTAGATTTGTTGCTACAGCTGAATGTAATTCTCCACATGAAGGGCGACAATTGGTTCATACAATTTTACCCATCAACATTGAAACATTGTTTAATTTGCTGTTTGCAAAGTCGAAATTCCTAATAGACTTTCATGCAATGAGAAAATCCACCGATCTATCATTAGGTGAATGGACAATAAACGATGAAGGGCAGAAAACACGTAGAGTAAACGTTACCGTGCAATTGTCTGCTTCGGTTGGTCCAAAAACGTCAAAGGTGTGTATATCTTATATAAACAAGAACCAATTAGTTTCAAATGAAAAAAAAAAGAAAATAAATTTTTACAATAGACTTTGCGGACTATTTAAAAATACATTTACTTACGTCTTTATAAGAAACTTTTTTATATAAAAGAAACAATTTGTAAATTTGCAGGTTACTGAGTTTCAACTGATGCGTGATTGCAGTAAATCGGGTGAACTTTACTCTATAGATGTAAATAACGTCAACGTAGGCATTCCATATGCGGATAGTTTTAATGTTCTAGTCCACTATTGCTTGGTCAAGTAGGTATTGAAAAAAATGCGCACTATTTTCTACTTTTTTTTTTGTTTTTTTTTTTTTTTTGATATTTTTAATAGAACTGTTGATGATCATACAATGCTGTCTGTCCATGCTCAAATTAAATACAAGAAATCTATTTGGGGTGTTGTTAAAGGCTTTATCGAGAAGAATACTTGGGCTGGCCTTGAGGACTTTTATACAGCTCTATTGCATTCATTACAAAACGAGACTAATATTCCTCCGGCGAAAGGAAAGGGACGTAGACCGCGCAGGGGTAAGCACAAGAAAGCATCATAACTGGATATAAATTTCTGTTTTGTCCATGAATCTGTCTATGCTTGCGTACCATCAAGAAGCACTACTTATTGTAAAAATAACGTTCAAATCATAAATAATGCTCTGCAAACATCTGAGTGCTTCAGACGAAGCCTTATCATGAATGGCATCACTGATCATTGTCAACCTATGCATGCTCATCGTTATCAGCTAAACAATCTTTAATGTGCGGTTTATCGAAAATGCGCCAATTAAACGGGAAGAAGCAGAAGGTACATTAGCCAATTGCTATATGTATTTCCATTAACATAAATGCATAACAATTCCCGACAGATTATTTTACTGTTTGCGTATATAATTATAATTTCTACATACATACATACTACAAACATACATATGTTGGTAATGATCAGATTTTCATTTTTACTATATAAACCTTCGTTAAAAATATATATCTACATAGCATCGATCTATGCCTGCATAATAATTTTCTTGGAGAACGTTAAAATCCCTTGTTCGTATGCATTGAGTCGATCAATTGAAAAAGCTTCTCGCCGGAAGCAATATTGCAAACTTTCTCCAAATTAAAATTTCTAGCTTACCTTGTTATCATCCTCCCTTTCAAAAATTATTACTAAGAATAAATATTGCTAACAAATATTGAAGTTGATCAATTCGGTACACTATGGCATGCGTAAAGTACAACAGCAACATATTTGCTGAGCACATAGAAATCCAGTTGCTTCAAATACGAATGTCTTTCAAACATTATTTTACATGTCAAGGAATAAATGATATAATTAACCTATTGTGATACCAGGTAACACGTAATACTTTTCTAAAACACTATTAATTTAAAACATCTTCTCTCGAGAGGAAAATTGTTCACCTTCCATCATTCCATAATTTTATTTATTTCAATATTTGTCAAAAATTCATCATCAGTCTGTATAATTTTTATGTTTGATTTAAAAACCAAACATAATTTTAGGTACAGCTGCACAAGTACGTCCCTTGGAGGACTTGCCAACGCCGCAATTGAAATCCGATCCTCCTGAAAAATTTCATACATTGCATGCGTTAACTGCGAAATCAACGACGGATAGTCCCACAATTGCTATTGAATCACCTACCAAGTACAAATGGTTGTCTATATTCGTCCTCATGCTTCTGTGCTTTCTTATCGGAGTCAATGTCATATTGTTATTGAGACTTTGGAAACTTGAAGAACGAATCGACGAAGATATGACTAAACGAGCACGTTTAGCAAATTTAGCGGCACTTAAGTAAGTCATTTTTTTCATATTATATTTTAATAAAGGCAGGAGCTTGTTGTCAGGGCTTAAGTGCATAAGATTATGTCAATATTTATTATATCTCTTATATCTGTGATCGTGTTGGCTATCTTGCGTTTATGTCAGTTGAATGTAAGGTTCTTATTATTTTAATCTTGAAACTGAACGCATTTCTATAGAGAATTTTTGATAGAAATTTGGACATTTTGCAAACAGATGGGGCGTTGTGCGCGAATGCTAAAAAATTTGTGCTATTATTTTAAGAAAATATTGATTTTCATGGAATGTTCTGGAAGAAAAAAAGGGTTCTTTTTGTATATTTCGCTTTTTTACTTTCGAAAAAACCACAAGAAGTTATAAGTTATACTTATATATTACATATGGATTTTATATGTAACCTGGCAACGCTGCATTTGTAATCCTATGAAGCATAGAAATCTGCTTTTACTGTGTTTCGGTAATTATGGCGAAACTCTGGGGCGATTCCAGCTTTACCTGCCCGTATAGAAAATTTGATGGCAAGTTTTAAGAGGGAAATATCAAAAGACTAATAGGCAAACAGATCGGTAGGCATCGATTTTCGTGGTGGTTAAGAATGTATACAAATTGGGGGATTTTCGGCTGCTACTTCTACACAATCCATTTACTCTAATTCTTCTTATAAGGATTATAAGATTGTGTAGTCCAAAAACATGTGCGAAGAGAATGGACTTTTATTTAATAAAAATTGTGTTGTGGAGTGTGTGTCGAGAGTTGTCATTCTCGTCCGTAGTGTCTACCAAAAGTCATCAAATGTGAGTCTAAATCTGCTCAACACTCGCGTATTTATAACTCTTGTATATATCTTGTTTATATTTTGCGCTTGAGATTCATATAATTTTTGCTAAGGGCTTACGCGGAGACTTAATATTGCTTACAGTTACGGTTATTCCGCTACTCCTTCAGTTTCCTCATACCAACTTCGTTGTTTAGCGTTGTGCTCCTTTATTTTCTCTTAAGCTGCCTTTTATTCTATTGCTTTTTTGATTTTTCGATTATTATCCCAGGATGAATTTAATTAGTGATCGGTTTTGAAAACATGGCTTCACTTCATCGTGTGTTGGAATGCAGCCATCGCATGTGCACGTTACTCCAACGCATTTTAAAATTTGGTTTTTTGTAAGCAAATGAGCAGAGCTTGAAGATTCACTTTTCTATGCAAAATCATTTATAAATACAAAAGAATGATATTTGAGTTGCAATTAAGTATCGATTATTCGATCCTTATCGAAGGAATGTGTGATGCAAAAAACTGTAATGAATATTATTTTTGTTATTGTAGGCAGATGCCAAAATCGCACGATGAATGGATGGAATTGTTGCGTCAACAAGAGAACTTACATGAAACCGAATTGAAAAAGTGGCATATGGTGCTGCAGACTGCCATTGAGTTACTCAAAAAGGTGAGCGTGGTTTGTCAAACGATAATGCGAAATGATAGCATCGCACAGCAAATTGATCAATTCAAAGATGAGCTTTAATTGCCATAAATTGTTTATGAGACCATAATTTTGCTTTTCAATTTATTACATTTCCATTATATGATGTCTATAATGAATATTTCGTGACTATATAGTATTTTTAAAAAATTATTTTTATACAATTTAGAAAACTTATTCATATATGTAAAAAAACAAAAAACAAAAAAAGAATTTTTACTTACTCTTATAATGAATGTGCCGATATATAATGCATTAGTTAGGCGTGCATGCCCATCCATTTTTGCGATAAATCGGCACTTAAACAAAAAAGTACGAATACTTATGTTTTCAAAACGAAATTTGTTGAACGAAAAAGAAAAGGGAGAAAAGGAGAAAAAGATGATGAATTGTGTTGTTCTATCTTTTACAAATAGCTTTGCAATTAAGACATTACTGCATGAAGAATAACTGAGTCTGTAGGCGATTTCGAATAGTTTAGTTTTTATAGACTTTTCAATATTCAATATGAATTTTGTTTACTCACGTATCTAGTGTAGATTTTTGCTATCATTTTATGTATGTAAATTTCTTGATTTCTTTTTTTATTTTTCCTTTTTTTTTTTTTATTTATGTATATTTTGCAGACTGAGAAAACTTTAGTCGAACTCTTGCTTCGCTAAATTTCGGTAGACCAAAGTGGTTGCCTACACATTGTTTCGATGAAATCACAAATTAAGAAATGGAAGGTGGGTTGGGGACAAATTGTTTTCTGAGAATGCAATATCTTAGATTGCATTCGCTCGGTCCCAACGTAAAATTAATTATTAATTATCGGTATTTTTTCCTATTTATGTTTTTATTTATTGGCTTATTTCGTTGATTGTTTTTTCACTTAATTTATTGTTTTTTATTAGAGTTGCGATGCATTTAGTTTAATAAAATTGAATTTTATTTAAACATATATGTTTACCAATATTCGTCAAGTTGTTATATTTATAAAAAAAAAAACTAAAAAAAATATCTTTAATTTTCATTAGTTACAGCATTAATACACATTTATATTTATTTATATATGTGTATGGAATTCACTACGATGTGGCAATTTGCTAATATGATTTATTATATATTTAGTTTTAGCACTTTATTTACAATTATATTAATTGATTTACATATTGATATATATATATGTAATTTTGTAAGGGGCTCAAATGTAAGTTTTAATTATACCTATCCATAAATTCTAATAAATAAATTTATTTATATAAAACACAAATTTTAAAATGTATCTCCTCGTCTAAAGTTCATAGATAATTTTATTCATCCTTTTTTTTTTTTTTTTTTTTCTACCTTTGGCTGAACGATCACCCTTTTATGCAATTTGTTGATACTGAGATATACATAGTCTACACGATTTTTTTAATTAATAATAAACTATTTTAAAACAAATTTGAAATTTTATTCCATTTTTTGAATCCAGTTCCATTAAGAAAGAGTTTTATTCGAAATGTGAAAAGAAAGAAATGATTCTTCAATAAAAGGATTATGAGATTTCCTTTAAAAAAGTTATTCAAATTATATATATGTGATCTGTATGAGCGTAAAATTAAGCTGAAGATGATTTTCGATGATGGATAACCTTAGCGAATGAATGACGAATATAATAGATTTCATTAAATCAAATTCCAATGTATCAAAAAATTGTATTTTTATAATAAAAAAAAAAGAAGATGATTTCTGTGTTTATGCGTAATTTTGTAAGGATTGTTTTAGTCTTGAGAGAGATCGAACATCATATTTAATGCATTCTTTAACATTTATTATGAAAACAAACCCATATGTAATAAAATTCAGTATTCATGTTGAACGATTGAGCAAATATATAAATATATGAGCCAAACTTAGCATTGTTTTGTGAATAAAAACGATTATGTGCAATTAAGAGATTAAGTCAACAAAAAGAAAAAACAAAAAAAAAAAAAAAAAAAAAAACAAAAAGAAAAAGAAAAGGAAAAATATTGTTAAAGCCATTCTTTGTAGAAACAAAAGATAAATCACCCTTACTAATACACGTAGTTGAATGAATTCCTGACCTATGTTTCAATCGAATCGGTTCGAGGTAAGAATACGCAAATATTGAGCTAAACTGAATGTTGGTTTATGTGCAAAAGGGTCTTTCATCGGTTAACTTAATTGAAATAGAATTTAAAATATTGGAGTCTTAGGGAAATATTTTCGTCTCAACGAAAATTTTCGGTCGTTTATTAAGGTAAGGCAAAAAGTTTTCCGATCGGTTTAATTTATATGTCACATGCGTTGGAAAAAATTAGTAAACCCTATACCATAACGGTTGTAGGGTATAAAAATAGAAAGATATATGTATATATATTGCTGGGTTCTTCATATGAAACTGCACGTCTTCAAAAAAAATTTTTTTAATATTTTTTGCAAACAGAAAGGAGATGTGAAAACGGTCAAGAAACTATTCCTCTTGTGACTCTACAAGTCATAATTTTGCCTTTAGAAGAGCAAAGCGTGCTAAAAACGTGCTTGAAAATCTAGTAAGCATTGTGACGCCTTTTCGAATCGGTATTGGGGTCTTTCTTTTGGAAAAATCTTTTATGGCTTCGAATGATTCCAAGAATGCTCTTTTGGTAAACTTATTCTTAAGCCGCAATTAAAAAATAATTTCGAAAACATGTATGGATATGGGAGAGAGGTGCTGAGAATTTTTTCATCAATCCTTTTTTTCTTTACTTAGCGATGTGTTCAAAATACCTGTCGCACTGCTTTACGTTCATAAACGGAATTCCGTTCGACCATTTAAAATTTCGCATCTCAGTAAAATTTTGTATATATAAGGGATTACTTGACCCAATAAAAAAGGACAACAAAATTCAAAATTTTAATGTATATACAGGCTTTCAGGAACATCCATGGGAATACGCAAAGCTCTTCTTACAAACAGGATGACCACTCTTCTGATGTTGCTCTTAACATGTTGAGTCCTACTTACTCAAATACACAATATGATTTTAATAAAGCCAATATTTTACTCCTCAAATGTTATTTTTCACTCATTATGCTTTATTTTTCTGCTGAGAATATGGACAGCCTTATAAACCATCGTAGAAAGTATTAAACATAGCTAATTACGCGTCCGTCCTGATTAGACGACTATTCCTACTACTCCTATTGCCCGCCGTGGTTCACAAAAGAAATATAGAAAATATTGCTCCGCGTATGACTATTTCACCCACCTACGCAACGCATAGATTATGTTACTGCATCCACTAAGGTTCTCGCAGACACCTTCAAGCGATAAAATCCTTTCTTCTTATTAACCCTGAATATTTTCATAAATTTGTTAACTCCAAAGGAAGAATGTCCCTATATATCTCTCCGCCGTTGCATTTAATGGGTCGATATTGAAATCTTGAATCTCTTTCTTGAATACTTCCGACAAAAATCTTTGAATTCCTGATTCCAATTTAACGGATAGTTAGCCATACCAAACCGTAAACTTGATTTCGATACGGAATTCGGTCATTTCAGAAAATGACGTATTACTGAGTCTACGATCGCTAAAGTATAGTCGTACGACTGGGCGTTCCGTCACGCACACTCAAATCAAAGCTCTGGTGAGTTTTCCCTTTGAAAGAGTAGCAAAGTTATTTCAGTTCACAAATGTTGTTGGCATTGTCAAGTTGAGGATGTTATTAACATTTTTTGAACGAATTGTCATTCAGCAATTAGCTTTCGCTGTCAAATCTTATATTTCTCCTTTACAGTACGGCTTTGCAAAGACAAAATGAACCGTTACGAACTGCTTAGAGTTTGCTTGTCATGTTTTCAAGTTTTGCTGTAATGGCTCTAGAACAGGTGTAGTAAAGATTTTGATTTAGTTAGTCAAAGCTATTGACGCCTCTGGAATTCCTTTACACCTATTTCCATAACAGATCTTTTCAGTTCTGTTTAACTCCGTCACGTCTCATAAATTCTTAATGATAGCAGGCGTCATTCAACGCAGCCACTTAGGATTTTTTCTACTCATCCCATTCGATGATTAAGTCCAGCCTTGTCTTAACGTAACCTTACAATGTTAAACCGTTTTTATGCTTTACTTTAGAATCGCACTTGTATCTCCCTTCAATCTGACTTAGATAGTTGGGCCACGTGGTGCTCACTAAATTTAATGAAATTAAATCTAAAATAAGTGAAAATACTATAGTGGAACGCTGCCCAGCATTAAATGTTCCACATCACTTTTCAAAATAGGGGCTTCATATGGGAAATGATCTAATTGAAACCATTTTGAAAAGCGTTTGTCTTTGGGCCCAAGAATGTGTGTGTGCCACATTTCGTGAATATTGTGAAATTGTGATCTGTCGTCGACTGAATACGTGAACACAAGGCGGGCAGACGGACGGACAAGCTTAGATCGATGCGAAAAGTGAGTCTGAATCGATTAGCATAACGAAAATCGAGTCTATTTCAAGCCCTTCTGGATGTTGCATACATCCACACAAACTTAATAAATTCCTGTACCACTGGTGGTGTAGGGTGTGAAAATGCTAAAAAAAATGTTCAATTTTCAGGGAGCATTCCATGCACCACTGATTATGTCATCGGTTCACACAATGGATTCGTTGATAGATTTATGGGTTTTATTCGGTCAAAGACTGTGTTTTAATCTGCATATTGAGGTTTTTTTTGAATAAAGCTCTCTGTCTTATTACACGGTGCACCGTGATCTTGGCAAAAAGAAAAGTTTCAAATTTTCATTTCTTGATTAGAAATCTTAACCTATTTTCGTTTATGTATATAAATAATAAAATAACGTGCATACGACGTGAGGTGTTGCTTGGAGAGTTCTAACAAGACCTTTTAAATTTTTAGGAATTAGGAAAACATAAATCTTTCTAATGCGGTCATAAAGCTGAAGAGCAAGCATATTGTTTGCATGCAAAGTATTTCGCTAAGATTCTAAGCAATAATAACTTTTTTTAAATTGCATTTTAAAGCAAAAGCAACTACAGTTTACTTTATTTGTTTTTATTCATTGCTTTGAAAATTTCCCTTATCACTAAACTGAATTAGTTATGCTAGTCATTACACTCTAACCACACACATTCATTTATCATAACGTATAATTCTGAGTTTCTCTTGAGAAAGAAAAAATGTTTATTAATGAAAACTTATATAGTATATATATATATATTATATATATGGAATATAAATTTTGATTATTGCAAGAACATAGTGAAAAGCTTAGTGTCGAAATGAAACTTAAGAATTTAAAGTTTTAAACAGAGTTTTACTTGCAAAGATAGAGAAAGAGAAATAGAGATAGAGAGAGAAATAAAAAAAAAGAAAGAGAGGGAGATAGTTTCTGCTAAGCAGCGGTGAAACAGGTCTTGTTATCTTTTTGTGCTTTTTTGGTATTCTTAAGTATGGAAAGTTTTGCTCTCATTAATTGTGTGAGGATTAGACTTACCTTACTTCTTCTACTCACAATCACTAATAGATAAGTGATAAGTGTGGGTAAATGTACACTCAATTTATGAAATAGAAGAATGAAGAAATTATATTCTTTATTGTGCAAAAAAAAAATCAGGACCAACTAAGCAGATAAAAACTTTACGAGTTGTATAGGAAAGACTGATACGCGATATATGAAAACTATTTTACGATTATTCAAATAATAATTGTAGGAAGTCATATTTCTACTTTGGTTCATCTCATAGGCATATTCTACCGTTGTGGCCGGTAATTGGTCACAAGAGGCTTTTCATAGTATTTGTTTGGGACTTTATATCAAATGTGGAGCAATAGTCGCAGTAGAACTCCTCAATATCAATCTTCTTATAACAAAAGGTTCTTAAGTAACAAAAGCAAAAATATGTGTTGTGATATCTCTTTGATGTTGCTCAGAGTATAGTTTTTCGAAAATTCTCAAATTTGTAAAGTCATAATGTAAAATGTGGACCCATTCTTCGAAGAAGGACGCGAAGATTAGGCAACGTTTTTTTAATAATAATTTAAAACTCAACCTAACGTATGTATGGAAATTTGCAGAATAAAAATCTTCTAGAGAGGCCAACCGATACATTAGCTACTACTATGTATGTATCTCATACGTGTGTATGTACCTTATAAAAGGATTATATAATCATTTGCTCGATATTAATTTTAAATACAGAATATTAGAAAGGGCACAAAAAATATCGCCCACGTACTCCTAGTCAACTCAAATGAGGTCATTCTGAGGTCATATAAATAAAAGTGGGACTTATGAAAGATCCGCTTATCATGATCGCCTTAAATGAAAAAATTGAGGCATGTATTTATTTCGCTAAGAGAAAAATTTCTCAAAATGAGCGATGCAAAGATTAAAGATTTCTTTGGCGCTCAAATCCTGTTAAGAATCGTAAAATTCGCTTTAAGGTGATGAAAAACCGGCCTCGAATACTTTTACAGATGTAGCAGGAAATTTGTTGGGAGAGCGACTAACTTCAAAGACTTTACTATGCATCTTGTCACCTGCTATCAAAAGTTTGGTTGTAATATGTCAATGAAAGTGCATTTACTGCATTCTCGTATAGATTATCTTCCGAGGAACTGTGTTATGGATCACGGGCAGGAATTACATCAAAACATTATATTCCGAAAAGATCGTAGGCAGAATCCTGCCGGACAATAAAACGTGATTAATGTGAAGTGAACTGCGAGAAACATGCTAAAAAACTTATGAACGATAACATGGAGCATAATATGCCTTTTGCTGAAGAAATTAATTTAAGTAAATACCTAGCTTTTCGAAAAACTCCTCTTATTTACAATATTTACGATGCTCGGTAATAATGAATTTGGAAAAAATACTTAAAGTTAAAAAATGGCTTTAACGGGCACCTTCAATTTACTTAGATTCAGTAGAACACAAAAAAAATAAAATAAAAGGAAAGAGTGAAAATTTGTAGTCCGTTGTGATTGCAAGCAAACACTCAAACAGGCAATTTAGCCAATCTTCGACTTTGTTCGCGAAAAATGTAAGTAAATTATGTAGTGTTCGATGCTCTACCTTGGAAGACCTAATAATTTTGGTTCGATTTTACGTTTAGTGTAAGCGATCTCTTGTCTCTTGTTTCGCTGATTTTTGAACATAACGACGAAAAAGTTATTAAGAAAAATTTGCATTTTCATTCTTTTAAGTAAGTGTAACATGTCGTGACTGCAATAGACGGACGGCAAACGGAGACATTCATTTTGTGAGCTTATGAATATATTTTGTAATAAATAATAAAAGTGTTTATCAGACTTTGTATCACTACTGTGGTCGCTGTTGTAAATATGTACATCAACATTTATGAATTTCGGCAGAAAAGGGTTAATGTATACCTCCATAAGCTTATAATTGGAAGTGTGGGAAGTTATTTTTGAGATTTATGAAAACGATCCGTCAATTTGACCGGTTTGTGTTTTCAAATTCAAAAATTCCGCATACAGAAGCAAATATTATCAGACGTTATCTACTGGTTTTTAACGAATTATTCGGCAAATATATATATCTAATCTTTTTTGTCTGGGACACGCCCACTTTGCTATTTTTACATACACGTCACCGTCTGATAAACTGAGATAGGAGCTGCAATTTGGCATAAACAAGCCTTGACCGATTACGAATACGTGCTTAAGAAACAGGTGCGATCTGGTTAAATAAACGATCATAATAAAAAAAAAAAATGAATACAACCTCGGAAAACATTAACGATTTGTTCAGATTTTTGCGCACAGTTTTTAAAAAAATTTGTACGTAAATGTTCGCCAGAGCCCCTTTACCTTTTCTTTGCAAAAATTGTCCCGATCGGGGAATTGGTACGTCCAGAATGTATCCCGACGATAAAATTGGAAAATCAAATTTTTTCTCTCGAAAACAGATGTGTTCTTAGATTTGGACAAATGTGAATAGAATGCTACTGTTACAGGACATGTCCACATAAATGGATAGATTGAAGGAGAGACATGCTTAAATGGATTCAGGTTTTGATACTGAGCAAGAATATGCGTATCTTAAAGGGCGTCTAAAGCTTCGTTCTGAATGTTGCAAGCGTTTCAGCAAAATAAATGTATTCGTCTTGCTTCGGTGATGGGTACAAAAAGAACGTTTCAAAGAAGTGCTCAAATAAACACTAACTAAACGTTTGGAAACGTTCCTTAGAAAGCCAATCAATCCGAATCGATTGGCCTTAATTTAATCTCACAATTGAAGATATCAATTTTTGCATGTATAAGCCGTTTTTTTCCGTAGCTCGAAAATCAAAAGTGCGTTGGATATATTTCTCATGTATAGACATATCAAGTTCACAAGGTATACACTTTGGTCTACCCTTTGAAATTTGAAGTTTGGTTTACATAGAAAAGAACAGGATCTCATACATAGACCTAACTCAGAGTGTATATATCTATCATTCTAGATTCGAAACGGGTACATGATCTTATAGGAAGACATATGCAGCCCAGAGTGTATACGTTTCGGTCTACCGTTCGAAATTTTAAATTTGCCTTATATAAAAAGTACATAATCTCATATATAGACATATAAAGCCCAGAGTGTGTATACTTTAGTCTGTCTTTCGAAATATGAAACTTGATTTATACACAAAGTTACAGGATCTTATACATAGACCTATAGAGCTTAGAGTGTATATGCCTCGATCTATATATATTATTTATATAAAAGAGTAGATGATCTCCTACAAAGACATATAGAGGCTAGAGAGCCCAAATTGTTCGGAATTACTTACGTTCTCCTTTAAGTAATAAAGACGGTCATCAAATTTTTTAACTTTTTATTTTAAGAGGGCAATTTAAGAAATCGATAAACACTACCACACTTTGTCATGCATGCATAATACATACACTTAGAAATCTTTAGGATTAATGGGAAAGTTTATGGTATATATCTACTTAGCTAATACTCTTTTTATATCCTATACTCTTAACATTGTGAGATATACTAAATCTGTGGCTATCTTTGTAATTATTACAAATCGATGTATGTGCAATTTATGATTTTCTAGCTTTCATTAAGAAAATTAATTATTATATTTTAATACCGTGATCAAAAAGGAAGATCAATAATAAATTGATGGGACTATGACAGACATCCGCGTTAAACTTCACATAGTAAACACCATTAGTGTCTCAGCTGCGCTGGATTTTGTACAATACAACGAGTTTTTTTTTTCGATTTTTATGATGTATGTGAGGAAGCGATTATGAAAGGCAACCATAACCGCGAAAGTATCGAGCAATTGAGTGAATATCTTGCCAAAGATGAATCAAGACCGAGAAAAACGCGCCAAATTCGTTCAAAAATCAAGGTCATATTAACAGTTTTCTTCCATTGTCGTGTTGATGTTGTGCACTATCAATACCTTCCCAAATTGCGCCAAATTGTTAATACTGTTAACAAATATTTATGATAAAATACATTTGGAATAATAAATAGATCTAAAAAAAAAAAGAAGAAATTAATTTGGTTCACTTTTTGGACACAGTATGATATTGTGATAAATAAATAAAGTAAATATATAGTGTGGACCCGATACACACTATACAGGCACATGCTCTCCTAATTTCCAAATAAAATTCGCATAAAAAAAAAAGGCAGGTGAAGAATAACTCCAGTTGCAATTAGTTTCAGTGGTCATCAAAATCTAAAGTGATCTGTTAGGGTATCGAATTAACCGATTTAACCAAGTACAAAGTTGGCTTGTTTGTTTGTATGAATTGTATGTAAATATCTAGGTATGTAATGAATCAGATTTCTCTTAAATTTCATTGGCTTGGTTCCTCGCAAGTATATTGTATTATATACAACTATATATGATCAGATATGTTTATGCATGTGTTGAAATGGACAGAGAGAGAGAGAGAGAGAGAGAGAGAGTGAGAGTGAGAGAGAATGAGATAGAGAGTAAGAAAATACATAAATGCATACATATATTTCCTACGTTTTGATAACGAATTGTTTGAGATCGCTTCTCGATTTCTCGAACAAGCGAATACTCTTTGCCGGTTAGGTATGTGTGTGTTTGTGGTAAGAAACGAGGAAATGATGTGTTAAAAATTCTTCACTTATTCCAGCTGGATCAGTTTGAAAACGAGATCGGTCGAAAGCACAACATAATTCAATCGAATCGGATACAAATGTTTTTGTTATAAAATATTCGTTGTTCGGGTTTCCTATTTTTTGTTTTTTTTTTTTTTGTGTGTTTTCTATTCCATTACGTAGTTATTATTGTTTATTTGTGTTTATTTATTTATTTATTTATTTATTTTTTTTTTTCGTAAATTTTTGTTAACATATTGCAATTATAATTGTTGTTATATTTACAATATAATCGAAAAAAAAGAAAATATTGATAGACTCAACTTTTTCTAATAAAATTTTTAATAAACAAACACAACGCAAACCATATAGAGAAAGAATTTTTACAATAAGTAAATGACCGGAAAAGATCTGTCTGTCTTGATTATTCGACATTATTGTATCAATTATGATTATGATCTTGTTTCCTAATATTATGAATAATAAATAAAAATGATTTAAAGGATATTGATTTTTTTTTTTTTTTTAAATCTTAGCTTGAGACACGTTAACGTTTATTTGAAGTAAGCATTTCGCGATATCCACTAATTATAGTGATTTGTGTGCAAAGAAGAAAAATAAAAAAAAGAAAAGAAGGAAAATAAAAAACATTTATATACGTTTTATATATGTGTGTATGTGATTATCGAAAAATTAACACTAGTTAATAATAATGATCATTTCAAAAGATTTATTTATTTTTGGTGAGCACATTTTTGGTACATTTATACCAGAAGTTGGGAACTCAGCAACGTCATCATCATCATCATCATCATCATCATCATCATCGGCGTCATCATCATCGTCGCCATCATCTCCCTCATCGCCAGCCTCGCAAGCATCATCAACAGCGTGCACTCCGGCCGCGGCATCATCGCCGGCAACGGGTAACGGCAAACGGGTTGGGTCTCAATTAAAAAATGTTAACAATTGCAATTGTTATCATCGCTGTCTTCATCGTGACAATTTAACGTTAAATAATGCTGCCTCCGCCGCAACAACAAGAATGGAAAATGTTGACAAACAGGATTTACAATCAACAAAATCATTGCCGTCAATTAAGGGACAAATACAAATTAAGCGTGAAATCTCTTCTAATGCTAAAGTAACTGCTGTTAAGAAAAAAGGCCAAAAGCAAAATGGGTCGACAAATTTGAATTTTGTCCCAACATCAAATGATTTGTTTCCGGCTGGCGAGGAGTCTGCGGGAAATGCAGAGGATAATAATAAGACATTAATGCTTAATGCTGAAAATCTGAATGGACATAAGAAATCTCCAAAGCCACACTACACTGCTAAGCATTCATCTTTGATTTCGCTAGAGAACAATGCTAAGGAAAAGAAATTAAAATCGCCTAATATTAGAAAAGATTTGATACCGCATTCAGTGAAATATCACTCGCTTGAATTGTCAACAATTACAGATGCTGGTGCTGTTGCTGTCGGTTGTTGCGACTCCTCATCCAACAATATTTGCAAAGTTAAAATGGACAGTAATTCAAGGTTAGTAAACGAATGTGCTATCTAGGTAGATAAACAGAAACAGAACATAAATAAGCCAATGTTTAAAAAAGCAAATTAGGAAAACCAAAAAAAAAAAAAAAGAAAAGAAAAGAAAACTTGTGCGAGAATAGACCAAAAATTTCGCTCTGTATATGTGAATTTCAAAAACATTTTTTATTTTTGTTTTTTTTTGTATTTTTTTATTAATATGTATCAAACCAGAAGTGCGCCTTTTATATATGCACGGAACGGAGAGATGTGCTTCGCTTTTTATTTTGTCTCCTTCCCATTACCGATTAATATTTATTTTTCATTTGGTTGGTAGCGCTATTGTCCATGTATATAATGTTATATACATACATATATACTTACATACATACATACGTACATATATACATATAGAAATACATAAATACATATATACATATTTATATATACATATTTATTTATGCACAAATCTATATGCATGTATGTATATATGTATGTATATATGTATGTATGTATATATGTATGTATATAAGTATATATGTATGTATATAAATCTTGACCTACATACGAGTTTATTAACCGGTTCGCTTCGAAACAAATTCAACACACAAAAAACAGCAACAACAACAACAACAACAAAAGACATTAAAGAATAATATAAAAACAGAACAGAAGATTCGTACATATCCACAGAGCTCTCTTTATGTGTGTATTGTGTATGTTATGCGTTTACCTATATACATGAAATGGCACACAAGCAATAATGACTTAAGCGAGAAAATTTTTTATGCTCTGAGTGCTTATACTAACAACGTATGTATGCACATACAAGTACAAAAACTCGTATTTAAAGAAAAGCAAGTGAGAAAGCTGCAATTGCTTTAGGGCGCTTTTTGGATACCTATTCTAATATTTGCTAGATGTAAAAATTTTAATATCTGACTGCAAGAGTGCGATGCACATTAATTTCGTTGTTCTTGGACGATTGGTAGACTCTTTGTAAAACGGAATTCCTTTCGAGTCATTTATTCTTATTGGCCATCACCGATATCGTGATAAAAATCTGCCCTGAGTTTTACTGGGTGAACTCTATAAGGAAAGTCTTAAAAGGATCTTTTCTTCATTCATAAATAGGTCTACAATAGCGAGGGACCGTTTTTACTAGATTTTAAAATGAAATTTTTACCTCCCAATATGGGAACAATTTTAGGCCCCTTTCATAATCCGGAAATTTCAAAATATCTTCAGTGAATAACTTAACGTAGCAGATGTTCCAGTCGACATACTCCTAAACCAGAAACTTTCAAAAAAAAAACAGCGGATCCAAAATTTCAAACAATCGTGAGAATTTCAATAAAATTAACAACACACGAACACGAAACAAATCCTTGCTTAGTCGCTGCTAAACTGCTATGCAGAAATGGTCTCGTTTGGTCCACAGATACGCATGCTTTTAGCAAAAACTTTCAATTTTTTTTCACATATTTTCTTGTAGTAATAAATACCTCAGATTAGCCCCCTAAGACGAATATTATTTCGTCTCTTCTTTGCATTGAACTTAATTTATAGCATGTCGTATAATAATAAATTATACACACGCTAGCGTGACGCATATGGGACATATTAATAGTGTAACTCAAAAAAATCTGCATAAAAACTTAACTTTCTACTTCATTCATTGTGTCTGCGAGAATGCGAACAACAAAAAACCATTATGAAGAAAATAGAATGTTTCACATTAATATTAAGTATTTATACTAAGCTTCAATTTGATAGACGTGTCGGTAGTAATAAAGAAAGAAAACCGAATGTTACGTTGCGACCGAATCTTTTATACCCGTCATCGCGCTCTCCTGTTAAATTTGATTGAAAAAAGGAAAAATATATATACATAAATTGGCATACTCTGTTATATTGGGTGGGCGTGATTGATTTTTGATATTCTTGCGGAAAATTTTTTGTAAAAATTTATATCGTGCACCTGTTTTAGTTCATGACCAATGAGCAAGAGACACCGAAAGCAAAAGTGCTCTCAGTGTTTTTGGTTGCATAGATGTCTAGGCGTTGTGGGCGCGTTCATTGACCTGCTTGGGATATTTTCAAGTATACTGGACGGACGGAGAGACGAACAGACTTTGAATTTGAAAGTTGCCAAGATTTTGTTTTCTTTATGGGTCTTTGGAGCCCACAAAATATAAACTCAAAATCCTTTAACGTGTATCTGCTATAGTTTATGAGTGATGAACGAAATTTAATTTTTATTCCATTTGAGAAAGGGAAGTATTCTCAGTTTATGTAGTGCCGTAGACGTATCTTTCAATTTATTTGGCTCATTTTCAACACCTACCTGTGTGCAAGAACTTCCAATGTTTTTGCCAACCGCCAAGCCGATAGCTTCATTTTTGCAATCAGGAGAAGGCTTAAAACAGATGGAGCGTTGTAAACTTTGAACCACTCATCCGTTGGTGATATAAAAAAAGAAGAACTGATTACATTTAAATTTATTAAGGAAGGTTTTCGTAATTTACAGTGAAGTTAAATAAAAATGAAATTTAGATTGAAAAAGAACAGCCAGGTAATCCATTAGCTTTATGGAGAACTCGTTCTACGATTACACTAAGGGCTGATATGCACAGATTTCTTAATAAATGTTTATTCAGATATTGCTGGCGCAACTCTGACGACCGCAAAAATGATGCGAGAGAAATGCAACTTTTCATATATATATATATATGTATTAATGAACAAATTTCAGATATCAATTTGATAGGTGTGATGCGTAATAAAAGCAAGTAGATTAGGTAGAAAACTGCAATTATCGTATATAGTGATCTGAATCTCCATTTTTCAATCATCTAATACAAATTTTTCTAGAAAAGTGCAAAGTTATATTTACATGTAAGTAGCAACGACACAACCCACATATCTTAACAGAAATCTCTGAACAGATTTCTATTAAACACACGAGAATCAAAATATAGTTAACACAAAACTATTCTAGAAGTTTTTGAAAAAAATATTATACGCAGAACATGCCGCGAAAAAATGAAACTAGTAACGCGTGAATCCTTGATCTGATTAATCTTTCCAACGGTGTGCACTGTTTATTCAGTTTTGTTTAGAACAATTTTTTTTGACGCTTTGAAAATGTTGCCTTTTTTTTGACTAACATAAGATCAATATTGGGAATGTCACTGTGGCCGAACAAACCAGTGCGAATAAATGAAATTAATATTACATGAATCCTTGATCGATGATCTTAACTAACATTTTGGTTTACATCTTTCAGCGACATTGTTTAACAGAAGTCATTTAATGGCTTCATAAGCTTCTGTTAAGATTCTTAAGTTGTGTTCTGATTGAAAATCCTCGAAAAGTAAGTATTGAAATTAATTACCGATTTCGGCTACCTGCGACAGCGAGTAGACATAATTCCCTGTGTTCTTATAAATCATTCGAAGCTGTCGACATTTGCGGTAAGCGAATTTAAAAGCCGACCGGAAATTAGTAAATTCGGCTGAGTGAATCCTCACATATCCACAAGTAAATTTGTTAAAACCACACATGTGAAGTTATGCGGTACGTCAGTGAGGGATACTATAAAAGTGAAGAGAGAAAGAGTTTGTTAAACGAATGAATAAATTATGTAGAAATGTATTGTGTGTTACGGATAACAACGGAGAAAGAGAATCCTAAAAAAATTAAATTTTTTGGGAATGAGAAAGCGGACAGTCACAGTTCTAAGCCTAACCAAATTTGTTCCTTACAGGGGGTATTAAGATGGGCAAAGCACTACATATTTCCAATGAAAACACACATCGTTCAGTTTGCATGCCCCATCCATAAAACCATCCAAATACCGATACGATGAAGGTAGCTTCAAAGCGTTTACTAACACATTCATATAAAAAATTATTAGACATGGTTGTCGCAAGCAGGATACACCTTTTTATCGTTATAAAGTAACAAGTTTCCAGTAAACCTTTCCCATCATTTTCCATCATGTGGTGACAAGCAATACTCCCCGAGATTTCAGTCGTGACACTCGTTGCAAGGCAAAGGAAATCATCACATTTGTCTCCAGTCATTTCTTTGCAAACTATTTTGTATAATTTCTGGTCTAATCTTTATGCGAAATTTTTTCAGTTCTGATAATCTAATTATGCACAATAGTTAATAATTATAATTAATTATAATAGTTAATAATTATAATTATCATATATTTATTTTTTAATATATAATATACGTAATTGAATGGGATCATCTTTGGGAAAAGTTTAGTGCAAGTTTTGTGCTTTACATATTGTGAAAGTGGGACTACGGCGCCCCATTAAATACCCCACACCGCCATTCATTTATTTATATAATAACTAATATATAAATAATGCGTTATAAGGAAAAGCGATCGCAAAATTGATTCTATCTGAACCATTTTTAACAGAGTTCTTCCTTGGGCCAAGGTGGGGCTCGAGGTGGTATAAAAGAAAATTAAGCGGACCGATGGACCGACAAGCTTACATCGATTCTGAATCAATTGGTGTAATAAAGGACAGACCTAGCTCAAGTCGTTGTGAGGCGTTACATACATCCGCACAAGCTTAATACACCCTTGTGCCACAAGAGATGTCTAAAATATATGAAAAACCTCAAAGTGTTTTAAAGATACAATATATATATTATATATGTTATTCTTGCTTGCTGAATATTATGCTATAGAGGAATTTTTCAGGCCTATGTGTTTACGTTTCAATATATAAATCAATTTAATTGTAAGGGTTTAGTTTTTTATTTATTTTAAAATTAAATAAAGCGAATTCTATGATTTGTTTTCCTTCTTCTTATTAGGTTAATGAACTCATATATCATCGCAAACTGTTTTTTCATTTTAAAACTTTCCACTCGATATTTTATTTAAAATAAAAAACTTTTTTTCTCATGAAATGTAATCGAGATTGTGTTACAAAAAAAAAAAAAATAAATAAAATTCCTACGAAAATTTTTCAAATTTTGTT